CACTTGAGACCTTATTAGTAAGATGATCTCTAAACTCTCCAGTTGAACAAGCCTCTAAGGCTTTTTAAGATTGATACAGAGACAAAATAATTGGGTCATTAAACCGCACACTGAAGGTCACTAAAGGCAGTTCAAAGGTCAAAATGTTTGGGAGAAAGACTGGAGAAAATGACAAGAATTTCCTAAAAGTGGATGTGTGGCCTGTATCAGTGTATACTAGACCAAACTATGTGTTTTCTTAGATATTTGTGCTAATTGTAATTCTGATTAACCATAAAAAATCTCTTATGATGAAAATTTGATTCCTTAATTTGGACTGTAGAAGGGGAGATAATTCGCCATGTAATACTTAATTTTACATACTCATACTTGCTAATTGAAATTTCCATGGGGGACATTCTGCATGCTCAAAATTAAAACATTAATAAAATGTGTGTATATTCCACCTGGAGCCATAAAGTTATATATTTCGAGTTGTTCTTTCAGATGAGATCATTAGATCTTAAAATGAATTATAGTTTAACAAATTTACTGGTTGAAAATGCTAAGTTTAAGGCTAAATAATTTCAGAAGTATTTCATAGGTGAGAAATACTATGTATTTAATGCAAGGTTCTGTAAATTACGTTTTGACAGGTAAAAACATTTTCAGCATTTTTTACAAAATTATCTAACAATACTTATTGTCAGAAGTATTTCATGTACATGAATATGTTATATATATACCTTTAGCTGCGGCACATTCTCCAATTATACCCTGGAGATTTATTCTTATTTATTATGTGCTGCAACTGTAAGTAAAACAGGAATACGCATGATAAACCTGCCTCTATTGCTGCCCCAATACAATCTAACAGGCATATATGACCATAAATGACTTCACCACACAACCCTTGTGAAATAACACACTCAACTACTGGTACATCCGAGATGTCGTGAAAATATTTCATCTCATGTTCTTTTACGATATATATTCACTAACAAAACAATTAGTCAGCTTCCTGTATGATTATTATGTGTAAACCTCTCCGCAAGATACATTTTTTAGCATACACCTAGGGTGTCTGAAGAAAAAGATACAGTTTACCGACACGTTATTTGAACTCGGATCCCCGTACCACTGCCAAAAACTGTAACTACGTATTGGAAACTGAATTTTCTAGCGAGACTGTAGCTTTGATAAATCATTTCTGAAAAGTAAATTATACCTTGTGGGACTATTTGTGGGACTATTTTTTTAAGGATTAACTTGAATATATTTTTCATGTTATGGAGATATAACACAAAAAAACGGAGTGTACTCTAAATAAACCGCGAAAAATATATTCAAGTTAATCCTTATAATTTCATCTACTATACACAATCCCTGATGAAATCCACTTTTATTGATGGACTCTTTTCTCTTAGAAATTATTGCGCTGCTGTATCAACCAATCAAAAGCGACGTTACAAATGGCGACTTTTTTTTTTACGTTATGGGCTGATAACATAAATTTTTAAGCCAATGGAAATGCTTGTTACAAGCAAGATTAAATTATTCTAAAATAATAAAGATTAACCAAATATAATCTACAGCAGCGTTCTGAGTGTAAAAAGAGCAGGATTCGAACCTCAGATTTCAGGTTGTTATACTGTCGCTCTAACCTACTGAGCTACCTGGTCATCAGTTATACTGTCGCTCTAACCTACTGATCTACCTGGTCATCAGTTATACTGTCGCTCTAACCTACTGAGCTACCTGGTCATCAGAAGTGTGCTGCCCTAACTGTGCTACAGGTATATCGCAAAACAAAATTAAGGGGAGGTAACTATATATATACGAAAAGTAACCTTGCAGTGGGACCGGGATCCTTCATATTCTCTTTACCATATTTGCCCTACTAAGTATCCTGAGCATAGGTATATGATGATGGGGTGCCTATATTAACTCATTCACCCCTGAAGTTTCATAATGAACTATTCCAACCTTTGAATTGGAAGGGTTCAAATGTGTGAATGAGTTAACACATTTTAATTTCCTTTAAACAATTAATGTCATATTTTGACAGTTTTCTCATCATGGCAGAGGCATGAAAGTGTCTTTATCCTACTTTCAAGATAATTCCCCTTTATCAGAGGAGCTTATCATTCTGAAATATTGTTTTGATCACAGAAGACAGCAGATCATATTCCCTAGAAGTTTTGCTTTTGTTCAATATGAATTTAAATTACCTGTTGCTTGAACTGATATATCACCAATTTCCAGTGTGTTTTTGCTAAGACATAAAAGTTGGGGGTAAATCAGGCATAAATAACAAATTCTTACCCTTTATATAGCAAGCCTCAAACATTTTGAGGATCAGAAGCTATTTTAGGAGGCTGTATACCCCCAATGGAGGTAAATTGAAAACCTTAATTCTGTTGTGAAAGTAGTTGTCAAATCAACTAAACCAAGCGAACAGCTTCAAGACACTATCAATTCCAGAACAGGAAACATCCAAAGGTTTACAATAAGAATTTAAGTCATATTTTCAGAATCCCTGGTGGCACTCCTGTTAGAGCAGGTGTACTCATTTCATTATTTACAGTTTGTTCTCCAAACATAAACCATATATTTACAGTTTGTACTCCAAACATAAACCATATATGTACTCCAAAAATACCACAAAATGATTTACTCCAAACAAACTAAATATGTACTCAAAACACCATGTACAGTCAAACTGCAATGTTTTACACTTTGCGGGACCATTGGGAAAAATTGGTATATGGAGACTTCAACTCACAAATGTTGAACTTCGAACATCTTTGAAATTTGCATAAGATGGATGACAGAACACAAGGCAAAATATTAAATTTGAAATCTGTAACTATTGCATTTAATGTAATTTTAAAAATATGTTTGAAGTACATGTGCACTGCAATTTGCATGTTTAGGTGTTAAAGTTCCAATGTTCTCGTAGAGGTATTTGATTTACTTTGATTTATTGTTAGTTGTCTATATAAAATTTCAAAGTTTTCCTAACAATCGGGCCTTGATTGTAGTTCGAAACAGCGAGAAATTTGACTTATAAAAGGTTTTTTCAAAAATTGAATATAAGTAGTGTTATACAAGAAAAAAAATCTGGACTTAGTCTTAGGTTCGACACCGGGAGAAATTTGAATCTTAAGTTCGACACCTCGAGAAATGTGAATCTTCAAAGTTCAGTTTATGGCCAGCATACAGTCAAGCTTCCATACATAAAGTCAATACATTATGTACTCAAAACATTCTCTGCGTAAAACACATCGCTAGTGACAGATTGGCATCATTTTGAATTTCTATAATGAATTACACTGTGCTTGCTTTTCATATTAATGAAAATCATAACTTTATTACACAAGAGGCCCATGGGCCTTAACGGTCACCTGATATATTTATACAGAGAGTTGATCTTGTTTTTAACATGAACAGAAATATTATTCAAAGTGTCAAAAAACAATAAAACTACCTTATTCAATATCTAGCATACAGATTTCAGACTAAAAAGTATTTGAAACTAGCACCTCTGATTCTGAACAAGGAAAATGAAGAAATTTTAGCACACTGACTCCTTTGGGCCCCACCCTACAGCCCTTGGGGGTAGGGCTGGCTCAAAATTTTCAAAGTATCAAACTGTCAACTCAAGGTTATAATTCCAATCAAGTTATTAACATGTAATATTCAAAGTATCATTTGCCATTATAAACCATAATAAATTTTGCCCCCCCCCCCCCCCTTCCCCAGGGGGTAAATGGAAGACCCTAGGGTCATAAACCTTAAGACCCTTCCATCTATGAAGAGTATTTGATTCTACCATACCTTGGTCTTGAGAAGAAATTTTTTGAAATTTTAGTCAATTTGACCCTTTTTGGCCCCGCCCCTCAGGCCCCTGGGGGCTTGGGACTAAACCGGCCACTATTTTTGTTGACCTTTGTCCATGGAAGGTTCCTGCAAAATTTCATTGAAATTGGTTCAGGGGTTTTGGAGAAGAAGTCGAAAATGTAAATTGTTTACGGACGCACGACGACGGACAAAAGGCGATCGCATTAGGTCACTTGAGACTTTGTCTCAGGTGACCTAAAAACCTATATTTCTACAGTTTCAAGATTTTCCCACCTGAGATATGGACTTCATGAGAAAGCATGAAATCCAATTATAGACCAAATTAGAAAATGTTCATGAAAAGCGTTCTTCAAATTTCTCATATTACTTTTTCACCATCAAAATTCTTGTTGAGAGAAAGATTCAATTACAACTGTTTTCAAAATTATCAAACTATTCCTGGAATCAGTAAATTTACAATTTAAAACCACAAACGTTCAACTTAACCGGTATATCTATACAGTAGATAAAACTATGGGTGCAAAACAGACAGAACCTTCCTATAAAGTTCTCCCTCCAGCCTCATAAATCACAGACTGAGCACCCCACCAATCACGATGACCTGTCCTATTCGCAACTGTCAAGATTTTTACAGCAGCTCCAATTAAGAGCAAACATTTGGAAGACTCTGATTCAATTTCCAAATGTCCAAAAAGCATTCCTATACAAACACTGTCTACAAATCAGTGTCAGACTTCAATTCACTGGAGCAGTGTTAACCTACAAGACCAGTGGGTACTGGACCACAAGCGTACAAATCTATACTTTCGGCAGTGAACCTACCGTATTTATTCCGCAATAAGCCCATGCCTGGTAATAAGCCCTCCCATGTTTACTCATTCACCCTCGAATTTTCGTCATGAACTATTCCAACCTTTGAATTGGAAGAGTTCAAATGTGTCTTCAGGGGTGAATGAGTTGAATACAGTTCAGTAGAGATACTAATGTGCTGGCCCCCCAGGGCTTATTGCAGGATAAATGCCGTGCTTCAACAGTAGGACTTGGACCACTAGTGTACAAACTTGAACCACCACAGAGGTGATATTTCATGCTGAAAGAAGAAATCTAGATCTTATGAAATACAATGTTACAATACAATAAAAGGGGAGACAACTAACCTGTAGCAAAAGTCTTTCGTCTCCCCATATTACAGCCTTTTTCCAATCAATCACTTCAGAGAAGGGCAACTCCCAACCATTGCTAAGCAAAAATGGAATGCTCCCTGCCTGCAGGGCTTCCAAAAACCTGTAAACAAAACACGGAGACTAAACATAGATAATTACGTATAAAAAATATTAATTTAATTGTCAACACGTACGTCAAACAAACTTGCATTTATCGTAGCTATGCATAGGAGTAATATTGTCTTAAAATAGAGCAGAATGATACAGTATGGAGGGAATGTATTAAGATGGAGTGGAATGGTATGGCTTTGTATGGTATTGAGTGAGTAATATTGAAAAGTATTTAGACAGAGTGGAACAAAAAGTCTCAAAATGAGGTGGTATGGTATATATGGAGGGAACAATATTAAAAAGTCTAAGGATTGAGAGGAACAAAATGATTTAAGATGGAGTGGAGTGTTATGGATGGAGTAATATTGAAATGTCCAATGACTGAGTAAGAAAAAACGTCCTAGATGGAGTGGAGTGTTATGGTATATGGATGGAGTAATATTGAAAAGTCCAATGACTGAGTAGGACAAAATGTCCTAGATGGAGTGAAGTGTTATGGTATATGGATGGAGTAATATTGAAATGTCCAATGACTGAGTAGGACAAAATGTCCTAGATGGAGTGGAGTGTTATGGTATATGGATGGAGTAATATTGAAAAGTCCAATGATGGAGTAGGACAAAACATCCTAGATGGAGTGGAGTGTTATGGTATATGGATGGAGTAATATTGAAAAGTCCAATGATGGAGTTGGACAAAACGTCTTAAATGGAGTGGAAAGGATCCCGGTCCCAGCAAAGTACTAGGAAATCCAAGAGGATTTTTTCTATACAGTAACCTTTCTTAAATTTCAAAATGAATATAAATGTTAAGAGGACTTGACGAGGGTATACTTCTGTTGTCCAGGTATACATAGCTTAGTTGGTTAGAACAACAGTATAATGAACAGAGGTCGTAGCTTAGTTGGTTAGAACTACAGTATAATGAACAGAGGTCGTAGCTTAGTTGGTTAGAACGACAGTATAATGAACAGCGGTCGTAGCTTAGTTGGTTAGAACGACAGTATAATGAGGTCCATGGTTTGAATCCTGGTCTGGCCTGTTGCATTTTAACATTCATGTTGTTGATTTTTGAAAATCATTAATTACTGATCTTTTTTAAATTCATAAAAAAATCTACAAAACATTATTTAAACATTCAGAACACTATTATTGATTTTTGAATAAAAAAAAATTTATTTTTTTTAAATTCATAAAAAAATCTACAAAACATTATTACTTTTTTTAGAAACAATTCATCAAAGCTAATGACATGGCAGAAAAAATAAAGTTTAGAAGTCATAGTTTTGGACAGTACAACAGGGATCCTTATATTAAGATGGAATAGAATCGTATGGTATGAAGGGAAATTTAAGAAAGATTAGGAAGAAATCATTTGAATTGCAAGTTTAGGAGTGATATTGTCTTAAAATAGAGCAGAATGATACAGTATGGAGTGAATGTATTAAGATGGAGTGGACAGTAGTCTAGTGGTAGGACGCCAGGCTCGTGACCAAAGGGTTGCCGGTTCATGACACGGCACAGCACTGTATTGTATCTTTGAGCAAGATAGTTTACTCCACTTGTTCCAGTCTACTCAGCTGTAAATGAGTACGTGGTTGGGCAGTGCTAGAACTGTTGAATGCAAGCTGTGAGCGCCGAAATGGCAGCACTTGCTGTATGCTCCCAAGGTAGTTCAGAAAGATATTGGCTGGTTGCAAAGGCCCTATTACCACGGATAATAATTTGTGAACTGCTTTGAGACGACCTACGAACTAGGTTGTGATAAAGGGGTATATATATATATATATATAAGAACCTTGAATTATAATAATAATAATTTAGAACAAGCGTAAGTCTATTAGAATTCTCCACTTACCGGTAGGAGCCTAACCGCCTCCCTCTTGGCACAAGTGAAAATGTAGCGTTGTATAACAGCTTCTTATAATCAGTTCTGAAACATATAAACATTTGAATATTTACTTTTCTGACAAATACCTGGAGAAAACACATTTTCTAATTTATACAGAAAAGTCATGTTATATGAAACATTTCATGTTACTGCAATTTTTTCATTTTTAATTTACACTTGATCATTATGAATTAATTTAACCCTTTCACCACTGATTCATCAATGGACTCATCCAGATCAATGCATGGTGGAGTTTACTTAATGGTAGTCGTATTTTAGCGCTTTTTGCACTTCAAATTTTGCTTAAAATTATGAATGCCCCAATTGAAGTTCATGTCGATTGTTCTCTTTTGTATATTTTGTGGGTGTGCCAATTGCAATTCATCAATGCGTTAATTTGTTAAAATTTGAAAATGGGCTAAAATTTGTGTGCTCTAAAATAAGTATGATAATAGTATTTTACAATATTTGTATGATGTCATGGAAACTTCCTCTTCCAGTTTGACAACATTTTTGCTGAAAGGTTTAGGAAAAGAATACTCATTCTTGGTTAGTTTAAATATTTTTGAGCACTAAAAAATACAGGATATGTAACGTATTGCCATCACATCTTTTTATGTTTGGGATCATTAAATATAGAAAATAAATCAGAATGAATCACGCAACCTGATTTCCATATAATGTATGCCTCTTTTTCGAAAAAAAATCTTTTTATTGCCATTTTCAAGGATCGTATGAACGTGTAGGGCTATATTTGTATGTTAGCTTTTAATTTGCGTAATATATGGGAACAGATTCAGTTTATTCTGTCACTAGCTGGATAAAGCAATTTACTTTAGACATGAATGTACCCTCTAGAGTGCATGCTAATGAATCTCTATATGCCAGATTATGTATCAGGTTATTCCAGGAACAAAGCTAATTACTCTCATTGTTAATTCCATGCCACTAGGTTGTAAAATCGGTCGAGATTTCGCTTTAATCCATAAATACTAATGTAATACCAGTTGCGTCTAAGACTGTACGTTATCATAAGAATGTCGTAAATGGAAAGCTACTTCATAGCAAGCTCATTACGTGTACAAATCTATAGAAGCTGATCCGTATTATCTGTCAGGATTGTTTCGCGTAACAGTAATTAAGTAGAGGAGCTGCGGGGCTCGGGTTAGAATTTTAAAACAACAAGGCACTGTGTGCGTGTCTGTAATGTCAGGAAACAGACACTCAAGCTCTCTCAAGATTTTTACTGTACACTTGAAATTATGCAAAAGTGCAAATTTTAAATTTCGTGTTCTTTTTAATTCATTTTAAATGCTATCTTCACAAAAGGATCTTTTAACTTTTTTGCACTAATACAATATTTTGAATTGTTTTACGGAGTATTAATAACAATATTTACGAGGCAAATCTTGTGCATCTCAATCCATTATGATTTACTAAGCACAGGTGAAGTGGTTAATTCTACACCTCCTTTTCAAGTTTCACCAACCAACCACTTGACGGTAGCAGGTGGCCAAGGTTGTACTGTCCATTTATTTTATGAAGAGTACAAAAAACAAAGATTTTACCTGTACTCCACATCAATGCAGTAATATATATAGTCAAATAGAATATCCATATTTTGTTGGAAATCTTTGTTTATGAAAATGATATGTACAGCATTAATTATGGCCTTGACCAATTAGAATAACCTAAAATACATTAATTTGCTAAATTTGCATTTGTATATGGAGAAATTTTCACCCAGTAAAATGTTCGCCCTTCAACAGTTAAGTCCATTTTTGCCCCATATTTCATTCACCCTTCACATTTTATAATTATCATATTAGGTTGTTTACTAATGTTCACCATTTTGATAAATTTCCCCTCATTTAGGAGGGCAAAAAAAAAGGCGAAAAATGAAACTGCAGGAAAAAGTTTGCAGTATATAGTATGCATACAGCCCCACATGAACCAACCAATCAGAATGTTGTTAAATAAAAGAACCTCAAAAGAAGTCAATGAAAGAGTTAAATTGAGAATTCCTTTATTACTCGTGACTAGCTGTATTATTGAGCAATAAGCCCATGCCTGGTAATAAGCCCACCCATGTCAACTACAGTTCAGCATTTCTGTGCTGCCTTCTGGGCTTATTGCAGGATAAATACAGTAAGCACTTTCCAGAAAATATGAGACCCTGACTTCAACAGAAAATTATACAGCTGTAGTATCAAATGAATATCATTTGCTAGCATTTCATGAATGCCTTAATGTTCATGAAGGATATATCAGACTAATATATGTCATAACTGTTCATGAAGAATGGCTGCAATTACTATTTAAGATCATACTGCACAGTATGCATCAATAATGAAATATTTTCTGTTAGGCATGGAATGACGTCCCACTTCTTTGAAATTAGGGTCGGTAGGTAGGAAAAAAGATCGAAGATTTAAGATGAACAACTCCAGTGTATTAAAGAAAACTTTACCTTATTTACTTCTTCTTTAATATACAAACACTAAAAATAAAGTATTACAGTTAAATTTCAGCTTAAATTTCAGTTTTTACACCTGTTCTATCAGAAACGCTTTAAATCCACACATAAAGCCACAGTTGGTTGGTTGGTCAATGCTAACATACTTAAGTTTTATTTTTAGCCTAATCAGGATGGAGAGAAACATAATATGTGACCTTTCACCTTCCATGACACGATCCTGTTAAATTAATGACAGAATCATTATATTTACCTGTCATAGATCTCTAGATACAACACCCTATCTGATTGGATTATATTGGTCACATGACTTCAAAATAAAACTTGTGTTAACATGAAATGCTCCATGTTTCCCTGGTTACAGTTTCCCCATTTGGGACCCCACTAGATAAATCAGTAAGAGTTATTCCCCCTGAATTTGGGGTGACTGAAGCAGAGTCTGTTGTGTTGTTGTTCTATTTCTGTGTAACTGATATTAATTGGCCTTGTATTATTATTAGTTTCCAAGATATTATTATCTTGTTTCATGAGGGTGAATTATGACCAAACCTTACCCTTGATATGCCGAAGGGGAATTCTAAGCATAGGCGAAAGAAAAACAGGTTCACAGGTAAAAAAAAAATACAGGGCTTGTGAATTAGATCCTAGAATAAGCTCCTGTTCGCATCTGTAAAATCTCTTTAACGAGGAGGTAGACATCTTCAGCGGTAAATCAGGGAATTATGGAATAATGTTGAGACATGGTAGGTGTTGGTCCAAACTAGCAACACTAGCATTGCATAGCAGAGCATTACATCCGCAACATCTTGATAAATGACCAATACATGTCACTGGTGACTCATTCAGCCCCCAAAAAAAATTGAACTCTTCCAATATAAAGGTTTGAATAGTTCATTATGACACTTCAGGGGTGAATGAGTTAAGGCTTGGTTGTAAATGATTCAGATATTTGAAACTGCAAGGTTTCACAATAACAGTACTCTCAAATTGAATTTCAAGACTTTTGAAGTTTTCTTCCGTATAAAGTGCAAAGTGTCACATTGAACCCTTCTTGGTGCATTCATGTAATGTTTTTATTTTTTAAATTGAAGATGAATTAACACAAGAGGCCCATTGGGCCTTAACGATCACCTGAGTCCTCCGGTATTTATTTTTGTTGTTGGAATATGTACCAATTGGAGTACAAAATAGTTAAGTATAACGTTAACTTAAGTTTGTCAGGACCATGAGCTGATCATTCCTAGACCGATTTTCAGTTAGATCGGCCTATTAGAACTTGTTTTTAAGTTTTAAATAAGTATTTTCAAAATAGCAGCCATGGCAGCCAAATTATATTTCTGATCGACCCGAAAAATAACAAAACTTTGTCAGGACCACGAGTCGATCATTCCTCCAAAGTTTCAGTTCAATCGGCCAAGTAGAACTTGACTTTAAATGGCGGCCGTGGTGGCCATGTTGGATTTCTGATTGACCCGAAAAATAACAACACATTGTCAGGACCATGAGTTGATCATTCCTACAAAGTTTCAGTTCAATCGGCCTAGCAGAACTTGACTTTAAGTTTGAAATAGTTTTTCAAAATAGCGCCTGTGGCGGCCATATTGGATTTCTGATCGACCCGAAAAATAACAACACTTTGTCAGGACCATAAGTCGAACATTCCTACACATTTTCAGTTCAATCAGCCCAGCTAAAGCTCAGGTGACCTAAAAATAGGTTGTTGACGACTCTTTCTCTGTTTATACAGTTACCTCCCCTTAATTTCATTCTGGACATAACTGTAGCAAAGTTGGGACAGGACACTTTCGTTTACCTGTAATAGCTCCGTCGGTTAGAGAGACTGTATAACAATCTGAGGTCCTGGTTTCGAATCCCTGTCTAGCCTCGCTGAACTTTTTTTACACTCAGAACACTGAAGATGATTATGTTTTGTTTATTTTGCTTTATTTTTCATAAAAAGTCCCGCTGTGTATGGTTTTCTTTTCAGAAATTAATATATCAAAGCCATATAGCCATGCTGGAAAAAACAGTTTCCAGTACTCCTGTGACTTTGAATATGGATGAAGGTCATTCATTTGAACAAACTTGGTACCAACACTTTTTGGTTTGGGCAACTATATAGCTAATGGCTGAAAATTTCAGGTTTTAGCCACCTAAAGTGTTTTCTAGGTTCCAGTGGGGTTACATACAATGTACCTGTAAGTAAAATATCCTTCTGGTAAAATACCCATCTTTAACTCATTCACCCCTGAAGACACATTTGAACTCTTCCAATTCAAAGGTTGGAATACTTCAAACTGAAATTTCAGGGGTGAATGAGTTAAAGTGCATGTGTTTTCAGCTTAGTGGATGGGACTAATCCTTTTTTGAACAAACAGTAGGATATACATGATACTAATATATTCTGATATCATCTGATACCTTTGATAAGAAAAGGGCACAAACAGTATGTATACATGCTAATGTTAATCTGAATCAACTGATGTCGAAGACTAGCTAATAGACACATACTCCTGGAGGACCCAGAGCAGAATCTGTCCTCAATGATAACAGAGAAGGGTACAAT